GATTTGTTGGTGGGGCTATCCCTACCTACAGTCGGAACGCTGCATAGCTGCCACTTGATCGGCGGCTGGGACAGTCTATGATATAATCAAATCAATCAAATCAAATCAAATCAATCAAGGTGTTACGTAGCTGCATTACAGTACTCCGTGTTGTACAATACGTAGTCATTTGCACAGTAGACGGGCTTCGGGAACCCGTTGCTGCGCAAGAGCAACCGCAAAGATGTCTCTCCGAACAGGCCGCTGGACCCGGCCGGGATGAGATGTACTCGCGGTCGACGGTGGCACCCGGTCAAGTCACGATCTCCTGATTCGGCCTGGAAAACACTCCTGGGACGTTCTGGGCGCCATTGGTCAGTCCTCTCGATTGTGAGAGTTGTGGGAAGACGTATATAAGGCTTGGATTCTCGCTCGGTTCTTGTTTCCTGCTCCTCTTTTTTCCACCCTTTGGCGCGACATTCTTTGAAGTTATAGAAGGCAAGCTGACCCGCCATGTGGGCTGTGACCGGCCTCACCATACTCGCGGTGAAGGCCCTGCCGATATGGGCAGTGCTCGAAATCCCCACCCTGATTCATCTTCCGCAGCTTGCCCCGAACTGGAACCGAACCGGGAGGGCCTGGGTCCCCCAAGCTGGGGGAAATCGCTCTCCGCCACAGATTTCCGCAACTCTCATAACGGCGGGATTGGCCCCCGATACTGACGCCGGAATTTCATGGACAAGGGAACAATCTGGCGGAGAGTGGCTTCCCTGGTCTGTGGGGACATCTCCCCCTGCCGGATCAACAGACGGGTTTCGAACCGCCGTGTGCGTGCCCACCAATGACTCGTGCGTCCCAGCCACAAGGACGTCGGCACGAGGGACCGATGGCACCGCCTCGTGGCCGACATTTTGGGGGAACACCACACGCACGACCTGGCCAGCTGAAGCGTCGCCCTCGCCTTCTTCAGTGGTCGTGATCACGGCCACGCTATCTTCCACCACGCGGTCAACCCCGACGTCGAGCGCCATGGCCAGTTCGTCATCCACGACGGACGCGGTGGCCCCTGGGGGAACCTTCACCGGAGACGCGCCGTCTGTCGGTCGCACCCGTCACTATGTCCAAGTACTTTGCGGCGCCACGGTGCTCTTCCACAGGTGGTTCATCTCGAATTGACGGGTGTGTTTGGTGGGCTCCTAGTCTCCCGTGTCGAGTATGGTCACATTCTGATGAGATGGCGACCGAGGGCGTGGGATCCTAAGGGTCTGGTCTTGCTGTAGGGAACGCTCTGTTGGCGTCAAGAGTCGGGCCCTGAAAATGGAAATCCCCTCGCTCGATAGAGCATTTATGGACAGGAGTATCGCGGCCGGGGTGAGATACATAGAGCTAACATCGATCACACATTCTCCCATCCTGGCATTGTTTTCCCATCGTAACCATTCATCCCATCCATCATCGGCCTATATTTCTTTCTATTCTCGGAAGCATAAACACAATCCTCCTGAAAGGCGGAACAGTAGAGATATCTCGTCGGCCCGACTGCGAACCGTCTGTTCAAAGTCTTATTTCGGTCGAAAACATGTGAGCCCGTCACAAGTCCAACTATTGTTCGCCATGCTCATTCCATCTGCGAGCCATTGTCTCGGGCGTCCTCAAGAGTGGCGCGACTGCGTCAGAGATATTCGAGAGCGTAGCCGTCGCCAACCAGAACTCACCCGTCGCTTCACGTGTGCCCACAACGCGGCGAAGGGTTTCGGGCTCGGGACCTGTTTTCGCGCAGGTCGCCAAGGGAATTCTGCACCCTCACTACCGCTGTCCCCGTCAAGAAGCTCGTATGGGTGCTGGACCTGGACCGTGGTGCGGGTGGACCCGCCATGGGATGGCGTCGTTTTGTTTGCACCCTCGGCCTCCGTCTCGCGTCCACCGTCGGCGGTGATTACCTGGGACGGGCACCCTGTACCTGGGCGAGACATGAGAGTTATGCCGTGGGGGAGAGACTTCGTGTCCTCGTATCGAATTCCCTGGACAAACTCGTTTGGGGCAATTCGACGGCGCATGACCCATGATTATGAGCGCGTCGAGACAATCAACGTGGTGGGCGGCTTTATATGAACGAGGGACTAGAGATGGAATGGAAGACCAACTTCTTCTCTCCTTTTGGGGTCTCGAATTTTTCCGCAGCCAAAACACTGCTCGCCTTTCTGGCTCGAGAGTGCGGGGCTATACGATGAACCAATCACCGAATCGTACTTTTCCCTCGCAATCAGATGACAGAGATGAAAATTGGTTTCATCCAGCGATTTAAGATCAGTGAAGCAGCGCCCGTTCCATACGAAGGCCAGTGTTGAGTCAACGCCAACACTGCAGCCAGGTCATGTCCGAGGGATGGGACCAATCGGCGCCGGGAGGGTCTAAATACTTGGTCAATCGAGTGGACAGTGACGGCGAAACTTGGGACAGTGAACCGAAGGAAGATTTCGAATGACATGGAGCTGAATGTAGTGTTGGCACCAGGCCAGTACTGGGAGAGTCGCCTGCGAGCACGTCTCACAGAACTGGTGAAACAAAAGTTTGAAGGGCACCCTAACGTACGTCCTGACGACACTGAGGTTGTCGTATCAATGACAGGGCGCTCACAACAAAAACTGGTTAAGCGTTTTCCTGGCATCGATGTTGACTGGTCAGTCATTCAGACACGGCTAGAGGCCTGGAGTGATTTTTTACGCAGCGGCAAAGGGCTACGGGTCATTCTCTCATTCAACTATATCCAGGTAGGTCTTCCTGTAACAAATGTTGGCGGAAAGAGAGGCGAGAAGCGCGGGCGGGTGTCGACCAGTGATCAAATGCGTAACGAAATGAACCAGCGGGTCGAAGCAGAACAAATCACTTTCGGACGGTCCAACTGGCAGAAAGTGTATGGCCTATTCCGCTGTCCTGGCTCCCCGTGCGCTTTAGGCCCCACTGTTGGATTGATCCAGCAGGAAAGAAACACTACAGACTCCTGACTCACCACCTCAAAGAATTGGTTAGCTTTGTCGAACGGCAAAACAAGCTAGAGACCCATGATGATGTTCCCCCCTCCATCAGGCAACAGTTGTATGCAGAGGAACAGCAGAGACATGATCGGAAATTAGGCAAGATATCTGGAAATCCCAGCGGCTCGTCCGCCGTCACTATCAACATACTGCCTAGCCACGCACAACAGGCAACGCTTGTCAATGGACAAACACGTTCGATTGGATTAGTACAAGTTAATGACTTATCGTTGGACGAGGATCTAAGCATCGATGGACCTCGCGACGTCGCTGTAAAAGACTTTTCCACTTGGTTGCAGGCTCAGTACCAGGATCCTTCATACCAAAAGGAAGTTCAAAAAGCTGAAAAGGCGATGTTGGATGAAGGATTTGGCCTTCTCCAAATATATGGGGACCGCAACAAGGAGTTTCTTGCTAGCAAGGGGGTAAAAAGAGGCGTTGCCGATAGCTTTATGAACGACATTCCGATCTGGAACAAGCGTCGCAGAGCAAATCGAACACAAGTTGAAGGTGATGAGCATATTGAGACTGGCGATTCTCCGTGGGCTGTGTAAAAAGTTTGGTAGATTTTACTGTAGCATCATTGGGGGATCGGCGTTTTTTAGAATACACATACAAGTACAGTCTTGGCCCTTCTTTCATTCTGTCTCCGGCTCTTCAACCTTCCATCCTGCATGCCGAAAGTGGCCTCTCGCGCTCTTTCGGTCACTTCCCACGACATCCACGCACCATTGAAGGTACTGACGAAGTCCTTGGGAGGGATCCTGTACATACTTATGAAAGTGCTTTTTACTGAATGTCTTAAGCTGGGAAAACGTTTGCTGGGCCGGATTAAAGTCCGGAGAGTACGGAGAGAGGTAGATCAGCTTCATGCCGGCAGCGTCACATTTTTGCCGAATCTTACCCCCATGATGGAACGAAGCATTGTCCATAACCAGCACTGAATGGGGCTCTGGCCACCTACCACAATGAGGTAGGAGATGGTCGAGAAAGTCTTCAAACACGGCACCGTCAGTGATGCCTTGAAAAATGTAAGACATCAGAATCCCATCCGAGGTGCATGCTGGTATAATATGGAAGCGCTGCCCTCGCTGGAACCGGGTTATCTGAATCGGAGTTACCCCGAGTGGCGACCACCCAGTTCGCCGATACCCTACTCTTGTGTCGCAGCCGGTCTCGTCCACAAATACGAGCTGTTCGTGAGTGAAGGCAGATACATCGTGTAGGGTTTGCGCGGAGAAGTTCTAGAACGGTGTCAACTTCAAGGTCCGTAAGAGATCGAGGGCGTCCACCACGGCCATTGTACGGTGCCTTTGTGCTGCCGAAGCGCCGGTAATTCGTCCGCGCGGTACTGATTGAGCGGGAACTGCAGTTTACCACTTCTGCCATTTCGTCATTCGTCAGCGAGCCTTCTTCAATCATTGCTTGAATAATCACATGTTGCGAGTCCGCAAGGTTTGGCGCCATAGGTAGGCATTTGATAGGATAGATGGGACTTTGCTGTCCTGCACTCTACTGTAGCTAAACTCATTCCCAGTTCACGATCAACGTAGGATGTCGTCTGGAAGGTCGGAGAATGGTATGGAACACAAAGGTGGGGTACGTGGAATATGTGTGCCACAACAACGCGTGGCGCGGTCGTGCACGTGCAGCGTCAATGCTGGCGCGTCGGCACGTGCTTCGGATTCGACTGAGTCAATTTGCACCTTGATACTGTCTTGTACCTTGATTGGTATTTGTAGCCTGCCCGGGCAGCAATCCTGTCGAATGATTGTCTGACATGTTATGTACTGTAGCAGATGTCGCTGACACAGTCCGCTATCATAATGGGAGTGAGTATCGAGCTTGATAGATACTCTTGACCATTCATTTGACCATTCATCGGATATTGTGATAGATGGGTTGTCAAGCCCGTGGTGCTCATTTCACATGCACCGAGATTCACTAGAGGTATATATCTACATCAGAGATCAATAGAATGACTGGGAGTACCGCTTTATGGACAACCCCCTTACTCTTTTGCAGACCCTAACATTGATTTGCTCTTGCAATGCCCACTCTCCACGAATATCTAGGACTCCCCAATCCTGAACTTGACCGGACGACTTTACGACCCGGTACAAATACACTCCCTATTGGTACATATGAGATCGAGGGGGTCCAACCTTGGGACGATTTCACACTCGAGACTATTTTAAATTGCTTTGGGGACATCCTTCGCCGCGATTTCGAGGCCAAAGACCTTTATTATCCACCCCCTCTGCTTCAACACCACCGCCGGCTAACAGACGAAAGCTGCGTGGAAAGCGTTTTGAAAAAGCACAATCATACAATCATTGACCGAGCCCTCGAGCTTGCGCAATCTCGACTGAAGGGCCGGGGGCTTCACCTCCCAATCTCCATGTCCTGGGGATCCCTAGCCGATGTGCAAGAAGATCGCAGGCTGCGCCCTGACTGGGCTGGCATTATTTATACCGGACTACCTCCATATGAAAATCGTGTTTCCGGAGATACGAAACCGTCATCGAAATGGAGTTCTGCGATGAAAGATTCCGCCTCGGTGAGTATACAAGAGGAATATTGGAAACCATTACGGCAGCTGCTGCTATACTGTGTTCGCGTCAACACAAGGTATGGATATATCATCTCGGACGCAGAAGCCTTATTTTTCGTCGGACAAAATCACAAGAGCCTCCTACGCCCCTCTCTGCGAGCAGATCAAGACGTCAACCTCCACCAGCGCACACTCGCGTGACTTCTCTCACCTCGGTAATGTCAGGGATATCGGCAATATCTGTTGACTCTTCGGGATCCCCGTATACCGATGCGGGAAACCCAGATATAAATGAGGCACCGTTGGAGATTGCCATTATTCCATGGACCAACTCTGGTACGGCAGAGCTGACCATCAATTTGGGAGTCTGGTTCATTCATCTCCTTGCGACATCTGACATTTCCGTCGAAGAATCGTATCATCCTTTGGGAAGTTGGCGGAGGATCAAAGATGAAAAAGGTCACTGGTGCTTCCAACAGGAAGGCTCACGGATAGTTTCTCAAACGCTCCCAGAAAGAGGGATTTTGATTGAAGCTGGGCCATAGTCGTGATTCACTAGTATAGTAAAGCGCAATCTTCTGGTCTCTTAAGTAACAGAAAGGCACAACAATGGTGCATGCGGTGTACGTAAGAATCTGGGATGAGCCGAGGCTGTCTACTTCCTGTGGAAACCGATGACGTCTTCGTGCCACGTGAACCAACCAACGCGCCAAGCCTAACTCTCAAAGGCCCTTACATCCTGTCTCCATCCGCGTCCAACCCTGTTGACTTTTAAACCGAAGACACAATGATGCCGCAGACCAAACTCCATGAGTTTGACTCCCTCGTCCTGAACCCTGTCAAGTTGCACCATGAAATTCGTTTCCGAAAATACGCTGGGAGCGGACGTGCAGGTCATGTTTTCAAGATCCGCATGAATAAGGAAGATTACGCTGTGAAGATGGTATTTTCCACCGATTGCTCCCTTCAACCACTGTTAACTCCTAATAAGTTTATATTCGATAACCCCGGATTGAATGCTACACAACTCAAGGGAACCAAACGAAAAGCCTTCTACGACCCTTTCTATATCGAATGCCGCGCGAAC